TATTGAGAAATCAGATTATGGAAATCGTGCAGGATCAGATGGCCTTTGGGGTGCGTCCTGTCATTAGACCGACTTACACGAAGTCATATCCTGATTGGGTTGACCAAGCATATCCATGGCCTAGAGGGTACAAAGTGCCAGAATTCTCACTCTTTACTGGTTTGGGAGAGGTGTCTACCCTGGAACACATAGGGCGATTCACGTTGCAAAGTGGTGATGTAACCGATTACCACAAAATGAGACTTTTCCCTAGTTCGTTAACAGGAGTAGCTTTCTCCTGGTTCATTAACTTGCCAGCGAACTCTGTTCAAACATGGCAACAACTGGAACAGTTGTTTCATGCTCAGTTTTACAAAACTGAATCTGAAGTCACTTTGGCTGATTTGGCGAATTTACGTCAAATGCCAAATGAATGGGCAGAAAGTTTTCTCCAAAGGTTCAAAACAGCAAGAAACAAGTGTTTTGTAGCTCTGCCCGAAAAAGAATTTGTCAAAATCGCGCAAGGCTGCTTAAGTTTTGATTTAAAAAAGAAGTTCCAAGACAAGGAATTTCCCGACCTTTTCCAGTTAAGTGCGAATGTCATTAGGTATGAGCGATTGATAAGAGAAGAAGAACAAATAAAAAATTCTAGCAAAGGGACTTATTACAGAGACCCGAATTTTGACGTTCATACCATCGATGACGAATCGTATGATCAGGCCGAAATGTGTTTGGCCGAATTAGTAAAAGGGGATACATATACTTGTCCCATAATGGCCAAATTTAGACCATCGGGCAAAGATGAACCCATAAAGGATGAAAACATAAAGGCTAGAACGTTCTCGTTCGATGTAACCAAAGCTGACCTTATATTCGATAAGTTATATAGGAATAAGCAAATAAAACTGAGCGATAAGCACAAATTGCCAAACCCTGAACAAATAAAGGGTAAAAAATATTGTAAGTGACATAATGCATGGTCACATTTGACTAACAATTGCTTGGTTTTTCATCACGTATTGCAGGATGCTATTGAGTCGCGACGAATTACGTTCGACGATAAGAAAAAGATGGCAGTGGACGAGAATCCTTTCCCATAGCCACTTGGGGTAAACATGGTAACATCTGGATTCAAGAACAAGTTACCAAAATTCAAGTTAGTCATAGATGACGGAAAAGAAGATCCTAAACCACATCCCAGTGTCTTTGAACGTATCAAAGGAAAAGAACCAAAAAAGGATGAAAACGTCCTGTGTGCAAGGTGTAAAAGGGAAGTAAATGGAAACAAGGAGAAACCAGAGACATGGCAGCATCCTCGTCGCCCTGTTTTCTTCCCAAACGTTCAGCCTGGCAGAGGACGAGGTACATCATTCTATAGAGGACCGCCTTTTGAAAGGCAGTTCAGACCAACGGATGTTGGAAGAACTTTTAGGCCGCAACCTCGCCGGCCAAATGTATGGCATTCATTCCAGTACACTGCAGGAAGAGCAATACCCTTCGACGAAATGACTAGGACTCAACAAAGGTGTTTCCAGCGAAATTACGGACGGATGATGAGGCAGCAACAAGGAATGCCACACCCTAAAGCACCTCTACTACTCAAGGTAGCCAATCAAAACGTCTTAAAGAGTAATAAAGAAACTGGTACAGATGAATCAATGAAAGAACTGCCAGAGACCTCTTCTGGGAGATCAAGGTTTGAGAGAGATAAAAAGGATGAAGAAGATCCAGATGAGCCCCTTGCTATCCAATTCGGTACGTTGCCTCCCATCATGGCCAATAATTACTTACTGGCCAATGAGTTCAAAAATAAGGAAAAAGAAGAAGAGAGGGAGGACAACGAAGGAGAAGCCCGCGTGCTGGTGTGTGAAGAAGGCCAGACTTCTGGAGAGGCCTACAACGATGAAGAGGACGATGGGATGACAGACATTGAAGAAGAAATTGATCTAAAAGCAGAAAGGAAAAAGAGAGGAGTATCACGCAATACTCTGTTTAAGCAACTACATCAAGAGGGAGTCCGCGAAGTAGACTTATTGGGGGAGCCATCTGGGCGTCCTTTTGATTTCTACGTACTGTACGGAACACCCAAAAGAAAAAAGAGAGTGCCTCGCTCTGAGAAGTATGGGTCACCTCCAAAAATAATGCCTCCTCCCACAGGTTGGATGATTGATGAGGAAGAAAAAATAATGCCTCCTCCCACAGGTTGGATAACCGATGAGGAAGCATTAGTAATGCCTCCTCCCACAGGTTGGATGATTGATAAGGAAGAAAAAATAATGCCTCCTCCCACAGGTTGGATGATTGATAAGGAAGAAAAAATAATGCCTCCTCCCACAGGTTGGATGATTGATAAGGAAGAAAAAATAATGCCTCCTCCCACAGGTTGGATAACTGATGAGGAAGCATTAGAAAAAAGCAAGAAGGAGATTCAGGAGACAGAGGATCAGCGTGACATACTACACGTCGACCTATCACAAGGGGATAATTCGACAGAAAACAAGCAAGAGGTAGAAATAGAGGCTGCCGAAAAGGTTGTTTTTAAACGGCCAGCCATGAAGTTGACAAAACACCTGAGGCCATTATACGTTAAAGCTCTAGTTAACGGCGTCCCAGTGGTAAAAGTGCTTGTCGACAATGGAGCAGCTATAAACACTATTCCATCCAGAATGATGAGGAAGCTTGCAAAAACAGAGGGTGATATGATTCCTACAGAAGTCATCCTCACCAGCTTCAATGGAGGAGTAACTTCAGCTAAGGGAGTTATGCCATTGGACATAACTATAGGTACGACTACTAGGACCAC